TATGCGAAGTGAAGCAGTCAGCAGCGGTTGAGGGCCTCAATGGCTGCGTGCGTGATTTGACCGACACACGCGTGACTGTGGTTCGCCCGCCCCGCGCTCCAGCCAAGAGCTATAGCTGCATGCTCGGGATTTTTTGACTTGGAACAGTCACGAGTCCGAGTCGAGATTGAGCAGTGCATTAAGTTGGCTAAAGTTTCGACTGTGGGAGTTGTTTGGAGCGGTACTGGTATGCTTTGAGGGTCAGTCAGGTGATGCGGGGCGATGCGGGGGGAAGTTGAAATGCCCGCGCCTAATTGAGCGCCGCCGTGCAGTGATCAGATCAGCAGGGTCCAAATGAAAGGAATTCATTGCCCCCTCCCGCGAGCGCGGCCGCTGCGTTGGCATGGTTTGTTAAAAAAGGCGCGCGTACCGGTACGGTACCGGTACATCTGCCATGCCATGCCTGCACCTTGTCTCGTGATGATGAGCTTTTCAGCAGAGGACATGCAGCTTGACGGACTTGCCACTCGCCAATTGCAAGCCTGTGCTGAAGAGCACGGCCGAGTAGCGCTTGTGCATGCTCCCAGCGTATCACACCATCCGGCCTCATTAAGCGCTCACGCTGGCTTCGCACAAGGCATCCGCAGAGAACACCATGTCGCTGTACCGCTCAACCATCTTCGAAACGTTGCCGCAAAAAGGGCATGCACAAACATTTCACCTGAGCAGCCTCGCTCTGGCGAGGGCCCTCTCAAAAAAGCAGATTAGACGGGTCATTCTTGTTTTTCACCATCTGTGGTGGAGAGAGTGGCAGGCTTTTCATGCAAGGTGGACTGACTGTATGGTGGGGCGGTGGCGACAGGCACCATCTCGGGGCCATCCTCGTGACACCACTGGGTGCTGCAAAGTGTCGCGCAATTCATGTCTCAGGGATGATGGAAAGTCATATTACAAGTAGCGAAATCTGTACATGCATGGAGTGAGGTTGTGCGCGTGCCGCGACAAGAGCGATCTTGGGCCAGCGCGCATTATACGCAACACATCACTTTGCTAGGGTCGACTCGAGCGATGGCGAGGGCACCCATCTGCGCGCCGGACGCTTCACTGCTTTGGGTACTGCTCGCTTCAACATCTGATCGCCGACCGTGCGTAGGGAGTCTAGTCGCGAAGAGAAGAACCTCGCACAGTATTGGAAGCTGTTTCGAT